CCAGGTTCAATTCTGATCAAGGGCACATGTTCTGGTTGTGCATTCGATCCCCAGTACAGGGCGCGCAGGAGGTACCTGATGTATGATTCTCTATCATCATTGATGTTTCTCTTTCTCTTCCTGTATGAAATCAATCCTATAAAATAAAATCCTAATATGCTAAGTGTGCAGTCGACCAGTCATCTTTTCAACCAATCAAAGCATAAGATGCAAATGATACACTAAGGTTGCTCAACTGCTCGCTATGACATGCATTGACCACCAGGGACAAGACATTCAGACTGGTAGGTCAGCTTGCTGCTGGGGTCTGGCTGATTGGGACTGAATGAAACATGCTGGACAAACCCTGGAACCCTCCCATGGTCTCTCCCCAGCTGGTTATCCTCTCGTGTCCCTCCTCAGACCTAATGGGGCACCACTGGGGTGCTTTGACCTGGCCTGTGCTCTCTTGTAATATGTGACCCCTCAGGAGATGTCAGAGAGACAATTGCGGCCGATCCCTGAAGGTCAGGCCAAGGCACCACACTGGTGAACGAATTCATGCACCAGGCCTCTAGTAAAAATATATTAAACAAAGAAAGAAAAAGAAAAACCTTATGCCTGAAAATATTAGCCCAGCCCAGGTACACAAAGCTCGAAGACATCACTGGAAATAGTTTTTGTTTCAATGACCAGCATTCTCATAGTTTGAAATCCTGAGGTTCGTCAACCAATACTACCCTCCCCCCAAAAAGGACGAATGTTTGGGGATTGTGGGTGTTTTATGCTGATCATGTCTTTCCTTTGAGGAATTACGAGGGATGCCAGGGCTCATCTCCTGAAGGCTCGAGCAGGCTCTGTGTATGGCTTTAGCATTTATCTCTGGATGTATTTGGGTTTTTAATTGTGTTTAGCACTGAACAGCCCCAAACAAAGACCAGCGAGCACAAAATTCATCTAGATCGCACCATAGATGGCAACTGGAGGTGGATCCAGGGGGAGCTCCAGAAATCAATTTCAGGTCATCCATAGTTGCATTAAAGGGATCACTGACTGCTGATTAAATTCTCCTCTTGCAGGAAAGTGTTTGCAAATGCACATTGAGATTTTTAAGGCTGAGGACTGGGGAGCATGAGGGATGTGTTTCTAAGGTGTGTTTCTCATATTCAAAATATTGCACTTCTATCCCGACCAATGTTGCTCAATAGTTGAGCATCAACCTATCAAGAAGGAGGTCATGGTTTGATTCCTGGTGAAGGGCACATGCCCGGGTTGCCGCCTTGATACCCACTAGGGGGCGTGTAGGAGGTACCTGATGTATGATTCTCTCTCACCATTGATGTTTCTCGCTCCCTTCGTGTATGAAATCAATCCTCTGTAATAAAAGCCTAATATGCTAAGTGTCAAGTCGACCGGTCATCTGTTCAACCGATCAAAGCATAAAATGCAAATGATATACTAAGGTTGCTCAACTGCTCACTAAGACATGCTTTGACCACCAGGGACAAGACATTCAGACTGGTAGGTCAGCTTGCTACTGGGGTCTGGCTGACTTGGCCTGAGTGAGACGGGCTGGACATGCCCTGAAGCCCTCCTATCATCCTGCCCCATCTGGTCAACCTCCCACATCCCACCCCAGCCCTGATCCTGCACCGGTGGGGGTCCCTTGGCCTGGCCTGTGCCCTCTCATAATCTGGGATCCCTCGGAGGATGTCAGAACACCTTTTCGGCCAATTCCCGGAAGGCCAGTCCGAGGCACCACACTGGTGCACGAATTCGTGCACCAGCCTCTAGTCAAAATATTTGAAATAGAGAAAGAGAAAGAAAAAGACCTTAAGCATGAAAATATTAGTGCAGGCCGGGTAGACAAGGCTCGAAGACATCCCTGGAAATAGTTTTCATTTCAATCTCCAGCATTCTCATTATTTGATCTCCTGAGGTTCGTCAACTGATACTACACTCTCAAAAAAAAAAAAAAAGAATGAATGTTTTGGGGATTGCGGGTGATTTATGCTGATCGTCTCTTTCCTTTGAGGAATTATGAGGGATTCGAGGGCATGTCTCCTGAAGGCTCGAGCTGCTCTGTATGTGGCGTTAACATCAAGCTCTGTGTGCATTAGGGTTTTTAAATGTGTTTAGCAATAAGTAGCCCCAAAAAAAGCCCAGCGATCATAAAATTCATCTACAATTGAACCAGAGAGAGGCGGCAGACGGAGGGCCCAAGGGGAGCCCCAGAAATCAATTTCAGGACATCCATGGTTGTATTAAAAAGATCACTGACTGCTGATTAAATTTTCCTCTTTCAGGAAAGTGTGTGAAAATGCAAATTGAGACCCGTAAGGCTGAGGACTGGGAAGCATGGGGGATGTGTTTCTAAGGTGTGTTTCTCATATTCAAAATATTGCACTTCCGGCCCGCCAGCGTGGATCAGTTGTTGAGCATTGACGTATGGAACAGGAGGTCACGGTTCGATTCCCGGTCAAGGGCACGTGCCCAGGTTGCGCGCTCGATCGCCAGTAGGGGGCGTGTGGGAGGCGGCCGATCCGTGATTCTCTCATCATGGATGTTTCTCTCCGTCTCGCTTTTCCTTCCTCTCTGAGGCAATAAAAACATTTAAAAAAATATTAAGCAAGTGTTGCATTCAGATTGAATGCACATTGTTTTAAAATAGTTTAGGATTTTTTTTTTGTTTAACATACCAGGGGGGTAGTCATTTAAAGACAACCTAGCGCCTGAGCCGGTTTGGCTCAGTGGATAGTGGGTCCGCTTTTTTTTCTAAATATATTTTTAATGATTTCAGAGTGGGAGGGAGA